AAGACTTCTTTTGGGTAATACTTTCTGGATGAGCATGACAAACATTTCCAGGAAGATGCGCAAAAAAAGCAGCAGAAACTGTACAAAATCCTGCAGAACATCAAATATTCTCTTCGATGCAGTTGTGGTGCTACAAATTATAGAACAAACATCAGACTCAACACTCATTGTGTATTCCATGGCCAATAGCTCAACAATTAGTTGGGTCAACTACTAGCTCAAGTAGAAGCAAATATTTGCCAAAAGTCGAGGCTTGGCAAGCCCCGAAATAATATAATTTGTCTATTTGTATGCGGTTGCTGCATGTGCAATGTTCAAACGGTCGAATAGATTGCATTCGCCGGACTTTGCCATAGTATCACCCAGAGCACAGCACATAGCACATCGCAGCAAGCATAATAAGATAATGGAAAATGTTGAGACTGATTCAAGTGTTGACTCTGGGTCTTGGCCCCTTTTGTAGAGCGCTTGGGGTTCGGTTCTCTGAGTTGAACGTTTCGCTGGGGATGCCAGCGCAATCATGCTCTGCTCCCACATAAAATACATACATATTGCGACAAACACTTACTGGATAATTTCACGCTCAATCATGGCGACAGTTGGATAAGAATGGTATGGTATTTGGGTTTGTTCCTTTTTTATCTTTTGCTCTGACAGCCCTTTGAATGCGAAGCAAAGTCAAGCAGAGCGCCCAGTGATATTTGTAATTTCTATAATGAAAAAATTATAATGATTATCAGTCACTGCTAGCTGGATTTGCCTTTTATTATTTATTATCTCTTCCGTATTTGCTGGTTTCTGCTTTGCACAATTTTTGGTTAGCTTCAGCATTGTGCAGTTTATTGTATTTTTCCTTTACTTTATACAGCTGGCGGCGTAGGCGAGCGCGAAAAGCAAATGCAACATTTCCACTTTCGTTTTCGTTTCGTTTTGCCCCTAAAAATGAAAATTACGTACACTCCAATGTGGCACACACAGAGCGAGAGAGAGGACGACTCGATTACGCCTATGCATTGGCCTATGCCCATGCCAAAATGTGCAACTAGCCAAACGGGCCACTTGGAGGTGCTCTTGGCGTATTCTCTTCGAGTCGATTCGGACTGCGCTGCGGCTGGCTGGGACTCTCACATGGCTTGTTGCAATGGGGAAGCCAAGTGTTTGTTGCAACAACCAAAAGCCATAACCGTACAATGCACCGAGGGTTGCTTGGTTTGTTGTGATATTTTGGGGTTGGGAATCTATTGGGTTTGCAAACTGAACTTTAGTCAAAAGAATTGAGTTATGGATGTTTATTTTTTTTTTTGAGTTAAAATAAGCTGTTTCAGTAGAGAATGATGCTCTTTCAAAATGATGCCTTATGATAATATTACACAAAAACTCTGGACAAAAAGTTCAATTAAATATTTCAATGACTATTTTGATATCGTTGGACACTGTTTTAATGTTGTTCACACTTGTACATTGCCAATTTTCCACTAAAACATTGCACCACTCCAATTACAAGACTCGAAATCCCAAGATTCCTTTGCACATATTCCGAAAACTGGAATGAAAACCAAGCTTTCGCAATATTTACACAATATCCCAAAGATCCGAAACACAGATTTTTTTCCAAGTCAAAGCCTGAGCGACCCGTTAAGTCTCGGTGCTCGCAGCAAACTGATTTTAGCGGCGGGTGCTGGGAGCATACAAAGCCTTCAATTCCATCTGGCTGAGCCGAGCTGAGCGACGGCTCCAAGAGAGAATCACTTTGGGGCATCAGAGAGCGAGAGACCGGCCACAGCCCACAGATCCTTGAGATCTAGTCGGTAAACGTGATAAATGATCATATGTGTATATGGCCGTCTTTGTTTACACGTCTCCAACTCCTGGCAGATGTGACCTTCATTCAGGGTGGGGTAGGGTCCATACTGAAACAAAAGACCGGGAAGCAACAGCTCCAACATAAGTAAACGAAGCTAAGCATGATTTACCGTTTCTTTGCTTAATGTTTTCTTTTTGTTTTTGTGTTGTTGCGGTTTTGTTGGATGAGCAAGCAAAAATCGATCTGCCGTCGGAGCCAAGTTCAAGTTCAGCAATCAAAGCCGAGACACAGAGAAAGAGAGAGAGTGTTGCAGTCATGAGAAAAAAGATAAAAGAGAGGAGAGTGCGCGAGAGCACAATATGAACTCCGTTTCTGGATATAAACTCTTTTCCAGCTCTTGTCCTTGAGGCGATAACCAGTATTTTGTTCAGAAAGTGACTTTTACTTTGATCTGCATTACTTTACTATGCTTTAATTATTTTGGTGTTTTTGCATACCCTTGAAGAGGGCATAATATATTTTTCACTGCACAGCAGAAAATGTTTCCGCTTCTATTTTCATGATAATAAGCATCGACATCAGAAACAATATATGAGTAACCATGTCAGTACATCCGACAGACTGACTGTTCGTTCATTTTTTCCTATACGTTGCACATACATATCCTCCACAATCGGATAGCTAGGAGCGGCGATAGGAACGATTGATAAACAATTCTTTGTGCAAAAAATTTGCATATTACCATCGACCGAAACGTCACATATTGGCAAGATGATATTGCTGTTGCTTTCTGCTATCAAAATCGCTAGCTTCCATTGGAACGATCAGTGTGCAAGGGCATCATAAGCTTCGGCTCCAGATGCTGCATACATTTTGATTTATCTTCTGATGTTGTCTGTAGATAACCCTCGTTGCTGTGGGGAAGGTCATTGAAGGGTTGCCCGCATTTTCCGTTCAATTCTGTGCAATCGACGACCCGTTCACCTAATTGGTGTCAATTTGGTGTCGGGACAGTAAGTAAGTACATAGCAGCACATGTAGTACATAGCACAGTAAAAAGCTGTCTTAGTGGACAGGGGCCCTACATTTTCTTGCTCCCAGTTGCTTAAAAATAGTTGTTCCTTGTCGATCCAATCTCATAGGAGGACACCTTAATTATGCTAGAGCCCTCCCTCCTAGAGAAATACCACTGTACTTACACTTTCCGGACTGTTCATCAAATGTCATCGCATTTAAAGGTCTGTAGAGCATAAAGCATATAGCACCCAACCCTAATCAAATTTCGAAATTTGAGTTCCCTGAGTGCCATTAAAATAATCATCGACTTCCACACAAATCCAAATAAACAAAGTTTCTGGTTATTATGTCCTCCCTTCTTCCCAAAAACCATCGCATTCCCTTTGGTTAATGGCCGTGTTTGTGGTCTGTGGTCTGGGGTCTAGCTTGTTGCTTAATGTTCGGGCTTTATGGCACCCTCCCGCTCCCCCCATGCCCATGCCAGTCTTCTAGTACAAGTATTTTCTCCTTATCGATATGGCGTGCATTAGCAATCAATATGACATGTCAGTCACAGGGTGACGGAGGGGGGGAATAACAGCAGGTAAAGCTAAGGCAGGGGACTCGGAGTACATTCATTCGTATCAGATCTGATTTGATCTGATTTCTGAAACGGGTTACTAATGTGCAATGCATACAATTTTTATGTTTCTATTTCTGAGTTTATTAAGGAGGTTCTGTACTGTCAAAGCTTGGAACAATAATGCTTACTTCAATATTTATGTGCCTAAATATATTTCCGTTGACGGTCAAAAACCAATTAAGAAGTTTCAACCGATTTAGCCAACCTTGACATTGAGATATTGCCCTCATATTAATGCATGTAGTACTCGACGTACATCACTGAATATGTACATACATATATATACATATATACACTGCAATGCATATACTAGTAGATGTTCCATTAGCTTACCTCATCTTTAATTTGAATATTTATAAAAACATTACACTTGGTATGTTCTGCTAATTGTCAACTATCAATCCGACTACTCGTCCTGCCATTAACATGCAATACAGAATCAGATGAAAACGCCGCAGATGGAATACCCTTTCTTGTACAGAGATACATAATTATAAGTTAATTGATCACTAATAGGATCTGCGATATTTATATATTTAAGCTTAGATTCGAAATGAGCTGAAAGATCAGTGGACTTTTTCGGAATCTACAACACCTTTTTCTGTCATTCCATCCCAATGATGGTTTTTCTGATGATAGATTCTGTTTGATCGTATGGTATCTTAGAAAAATCGTAGAATAAAAACCCATTGTGTTCATATTCAAACGATGATAAGATCATAATCATAATCACAATACCCTGATAAATATGAGATATGTTACTCTCTTAAAAAAAATGAATCTTTATTTCAAGTCAAAGTTATCTGTGAACTTTGAGCTAATACGCCATTCAAACAGTTACGCATACGTCCTGATAAATTAGTTGGGGCTTCCCCAGGGGCTAGGGTATTTTCATTGTCCACGCATGTGGCGGCAATGCAATGTGGCAGCCCGAAAGGCGGCTTCAGTTGTCGTTGGAAAGCCAGGCGGCAAACAACGTCAGGAAAAAACATGCGGTAGTCAGTGGAACGGGGATACCCGATGAAGGGGAACGGGAAAAAGGAAAGCCAAAATATGTGAGTGTCTAAGGAGATAGGCAACAAGGCAAGGACCTGCATATTGTTTTTTTATACTTCCTGTCTGTGTTAGTGTCTGTGCCTCTATATGTTTGGGTGTGTGTGTGTGTGAGCTCGTGATTTGTTTACCTGTCAAAATAATAAATATAACTTTTGTTTTCGTGGGGCATAAAATACGGTTGGCATTGGAATTGGATCCAAACAGCAGCGAAGCCAACCAGGGCGAAGGACTTTGGGGCGCTTGTCTGGCATGTCCTGTGCTGTGCCAAGTGCAGTGTCAAAAGTCAGGCGAAGGATAATGGCCCAGAGCCAAGACTGACATGAAAAATGCCCCCGACACTTGCCAGAAAAATTCGAAGAGAAAAATTGAATTCCTAGACATTTCTCGTTTGCCTTACAGTATGCAACAGTTTTGGCCTCACTTAAATGTATATTCAGTTGACTTTTCTTTTAAGTTCAAATAAATTTACAAACTCGTACTATATCTGATCACATAACTACTCCAACAAATCACCTTGACAGGCACGCTTCTCAGCATGCTCCTGTCACCGTCTAACCAGACATGCCAGCGCATCCTGTCCTTCATTGCTAGGATCATCTCCAGGCAGCTGAACCAGATGAGCCAGCACCGAAGGACGTCCCTTGTCCGTGCAGCCTTTGACCAGTTCCCGCCCCAGGAACTATGCCAGCGTCAAGCCTTCATCCCTCTGAAGGCGACACCCGGCTTGATGGCCATGCAGCGGAGTCAAGTTCGGTTCGGAGAGGATTACCGCATTTATCAGCAGAACATCGATCTGGACTCCTTCTTCGGAGAGGAGCCAAAGTATGACAAAGTTTCGGATGTCTGCCTGCTCAACGATCACTTCATACTGGTGAAGATGCCCCAGTTCCAGCAGCCCAACAGCCCAGCAGTAAAGGCACCAACAACACAATCGCCTCCCCAGACGAAATCGAAGCTGCCGCGTTGCTTCAAATGCAGTCGTAGCAGTCGCGTCTCGCCCATTCTGGAGGAGATGGAGGAGAAGCGTCCTCAGAGGAGCTGCCTGAAGCCCTGGGCCAGCAGGGACATGGATGAAGTTGAAGTTTTTGATTCCACCACGACCATAACAACCATCCCAAGTGAGGCCAGCAGGAACGGCCTAGACGATATTGAGACCTTCGAATCCATCACTAAAATAACATTTCCACGTAAGAGTTTTGTTCGTGCTCCTCCTGAATCTGTGATAGTAGAGCAGCCACATCTGCAGCCGCATCCGCAGCCTCCTCCAATCCCTGCTCTTCTGCAGCTGGAAGCGATTCATCCAGCAGCATCAGCCCCAGTCGTCGAGACGCCTCTTCTTAGCCGCGCTCCAATCCATTGGTTTCTGTGGCCCTTCCGGCGACGGCTCCACTCCAGACCCAAGTCCAAGCCCCCGCTGGCCGCCGTTCATAAGACGTACTTTGTGCGCTGGAGCAAACCCCCGGACACCATCTGGCAGGGCTACGGCGTGGACAGAGGCGAGAAGGAGCATAAGATGGGTCTGCGGCGCTGTCGTTCGGCAGTCTTCTGAGCGAATCAATCATCAGATAAAGATAAGATATATTTTTAAAGATTACTTTGTTAAGGGTCCAGTAATTTTCTTCTTAAAGAGCTTAAATGGTTTCAGTTATAATTTTTAACAAAAAAAAATAATTAATTATAATAATTATCGATATTTGAAATTATGTACAAAGGGGATCCAATGAGATCCTGAGCTCAATCTCACGCTCAATATAAGAGAGCATAAATACTCGTGAGAGCATTAGAGGTTATGCAATATATTTCTAGAGCTTTACATGGGTTCTTGATTTCTTTACATTTATTTATTTATTATAAAAAATGGGTTTATGGGTTTTAATTTTTCAAGAAATCATTCATATTTTGTCTAGAAATTAGAACAGATTTTTGGAGCTACATATATAGATTTTAAAGATCAAGGATTAAGACTTAAGATTAAAGACTTAAGGATAAGTAGGAATTTATAGAGATTTAATATGGATCATATCATTATCGTTGTACGGATCCTGAGAGGTACAGGTGTATATAAAAAGTATGCAGTGAAATAGTTACTCATTTTTATAAGTATAAATTTTGATCATGAAGGAAGGATGACATGAAAATGTTATAGAAAACGCTTTGTACATTAATTCAAGCTTAAGGATAATTATAGTCTGTGGAGGACGGACCACGTCGAACCCTTCGAGAGCACATGTCAAACTTCAATTTCCGCATGCAAAATTAGTGCCTGCCACAAACACACAAACTTTAGCCACATTGTGGAGAGCCTTACAATAACTCCAAAATGAAGGAAAAAGCACTACCAAGAAGGCAACAAAATGCAAACTACGTAAATTGCTGGGGCCAATCCACTGCAGATAAAGTGAAGCAGAAATGAGAGAGAAAAAAAGCAAAACTTTGACTCCTTTTTTCAATGGAATATGCACGCGTCCGTGAAGCGTTGATGGAGTGTATGGTGCTCTGAGGAGGTAGGGGGGTGCTTCATTAGCTTCGCGCCTGCAAAAAGTCGGGCAATGTCGTTCGTTACTCCCCGGTATGGCCGCTGGATTTCTCTGCCGCGTAGTTCTACAACTAATTGCAAGAGGCCCCGACGTTTGACCATAAAAAACAACAAGTTCATGATAAAACTACAACTACTGTCTGAAAGTATGACGGTGGGGAGACGAGGGGGCGTGGATGCAAGCCCCGTGCGCCACAATATACATAATAATAAAATAAAATTAAAACCGTCACGCCAGGCGTCAGAGGCAGAGGCAGAGCGGCAGAAAACAAAGCACCCAAAACCGTACCACAACCGAGCCCAAAGGAGCTGCCACTGAAGCTGAAGTTGCAGCACACATGTCCAGAATGAGACCCCATCCAGCCCTCTGCCCAGTGTGACTGCCACTGAGGCAGCAGGTCACCATAACGAACCATTAATATGCAAGTTCCCCTCAAAATTGGACGATAAGAACCCAAACGCTTTTCTTTTATCGAAAATCGAACTACGAACTTTGTGTATAATATTGCTCTCCATTGTGTTTTCACATTGATTGCCCCTTCTGGTCTGGTCTGTGCGGCCCGACCTGTGCTTGTCATTAATTATAATGTCGGCATGGAGGCGAGCGAGCACATTACCATTTTGGCCAAATGTTGAATTAGATGGCTTTGAGTTGGGCTCAGGGGATTGAGGAATTGCTTTGCTGTATGTATGTTGCGGTATAGCAAGGGGAGGGAGTAAAACAAAAGTGAAGGACGGCACCTGTTTGCTGCAACAAGGGATTTCCACGTGGTAGTATCTGCTGTAGATTGCGGGGAATAGAGATAAGTAAACTGATATGTATTTCAGTAACTTGTTCTCTTATAAACATACAGAACAGATTTAATAGTTCAGGGATTCATCCGCCTGGACAAACAGCAGCCACAGCAACAGAAAGACACTTTACTGTATGATTAATAAACACTTTAGAGAGTTACAAAATGTCTTGATGGAATAAAGAAAAGGTTCATATTTCAGAAAATATATATTGGAATGACTACTTCACATGCTACCCCCTAAGAATTCAAAGATATGTCATGATATCGTCTTAACTCTATACTTTTCAATCTCACAATGAAGGTCATTCTTTCTTGAAGTTTCTCAGAGAGTCATGTTTATTGCATACTTTTTTTTTTACTAATTACTATGTAGAAAAAACACTTTTTCTATCTGAATCAATCTAAATGTAAATCTAACTAAATAATTCGTTTTCAATAACTTCTTTGTTATCTTTTTGTGTGGCCCATATCGCAATACAAGTTTCATTAGCCAGCATATTCGACTTGCAGCTTCAGTTAATTGGCGGAAAGTTGCATATCGGTTCCGGCCAACTGAAGTTTTTGGCACCCCGGAGTCCGGAGTGCGGTGGATGGCAGACAGAGGACACTTGCTGGGCCAAGATGCCAAAAGGAAGCTGACAAGTTGCTAACATCAGCCATAGTCCATTGGCCATTGGCCATAAAAGGAGCAGCAAGAGAAGCAGCAGAAACTAAAGTCCCGCCAAGCATTCCAAATCGATTACGACTATTTTGAGAAGATCATACAGAGAGAGCAAACTATACATATATCTTTTCCACTCTCACAACAGCAAGGTGTTTATTAATAAAACTCCAACTATCCAAAAGAAACAGAGATGGATATACAGAACACTCATAGACAGAAGATGGAGAAAGAGAGACATCGTCGCGAAACAGAAACAGAAACAGTTGGTGGTAAACAAAGTGTTGACAATACCCAGATCTCAGAGAAGGACCATGTCAGAGTCCGTGTCTGTGTCCGTGTCCGAGTCGTTGGCACCGACTGCGCAACGGCCTTCGGCCCGGTACGGGCAATCATCGTTAATGATGGCAATGTCCTTGTGCGCCTCAATTTGACAAATCAATTTGTGCGCTAACAGCATGCGTTCTACGGCCAGGACACGGCTGTCCCGAGCTGTCCCACTGACTTGGACGAGGACACAGCACAACGGCAGATCGGGGAGAAGAGAGAGGGATCACAGTACGAGTAGTTGGACCGACAGACCAAACCGAAATGTTTGCCAATACACAGGATGGCAACTGTTTGGATGTGTCGTGGGGTGTCTGTCGCATAAATGAGTATACTACATCTAGATCTAGTCGGATCGTAGTCGGATAGAGATGGTGATGGTTCCATCAACTTCATTCATTTGGCTGGGATGGGATGGGATCGGATCTCATTTTGCTTCCTCTAATCCTCCTTATTCCCTATTATCCTTGACTTACAGACTTCGCACAATCTCTTCTTTCGAGCGAGATCTCTCTCTTCGGACAGAACACCTCATTAGCAAGGATTATCGCTGCAGTTTGAGAACTACCTAACCCTCTATCGATCCTCAAATCCTACCTGACTTTGACTCCGCCTGGCTGACTGAAAGCTAAGCCTTTCTTGGCTTAACTCTTGCCAGGACGACCGACTGGGACTGGGAAAGGGGTTTGTGTCCCGGCTGAGTGCTGCGCGCGAGGACGAAGAATGACAGCAAATAAAAGTTTATGATGTCGATCGTAAAAGTGCCAGAAACGAGTTGACCTGGTCCAGAGGCCCAGAGGTCCAGAGGGTTATGGTTTAAGGGCTGTGCGCCGTTTACTGCATTCTTCCTGGCAGCAAAGGATTATTTCCGAAATATCCTAATCCCTTAGAAAGCAGCAGAGAGAGAGAGCGCTACAAATCCTTTCGCAACCTTAGGACCTCGCTGCCCTCCTGGAATTGGAATTTTTGATTCGCAAATCCATCTCGGGGTTAGTCCACCTTGCTGTCGAGTAAATATTTTGAGGTTTTGCGCTGCTTATGTCCCAGGCACCGCCTGACGATCTCTGGCCAGGAATTTTATTGGTCCATCATGTGGCAGCGCAGGTAGATAGATCCGATCTGAACCGATCCGACGTCCAGTCCAGCAACAATTAATAAAAATATTAAATTAAATTTCATCTTGAGATTCGTTGTAAATTACTGTTTTCCCTGCCTTTGATGTTCAACACATTGTCGGCTCATTAATCACCCGGAGAAGGCAGTAGTCGCAGCGAGGGAGCGAGAGCGAGGCCACAGCCATAGCCACAGCCACAGCCTGCTCTGTCCCTGATCTCTGGACAGCACAGAGTTGAGAGTGGAGCTCCACGACTTCCATTTTCTACCCAGAGAAGCCCCAGAGAGAGGTTACCATCGGAGCTTTTCTTTTGCAGACACTTTGCTTAGTAATTTTGTATCGCTACCGAAAATTAATGCGTTATATTTTAGATTTAATCCATTCTCAATCGAGGCTTTCTACAGTAGCTCTCTCATGGCATCGAGTTTTCCCTGAGTCGTCCCGCTCAGTAGGTAGCGAATTAAAAACGTAATTGGTTTATTAACCTGAAAATATGGTGCGGGGTGCTATTAAATTGGCATTAGAAGATGGCTAGGAAATGGGGCATTCAAGGCGCAGAAGATTCCCACACTGAGAAGAGAAACTCCAAATAGAATAATGATTTCAAATCCTGTTTTCAGATATTTAGAAACTTAAGCAAAGAAGACACAAATGTATTGGTATCTCGGATTTACCAGCTGAAAAATGAGATAGCAAAAAAATTGCATATATGGTGGAGATATTCAACCGAAAAATGCAAGGCAGGAACCCAATATTTGGAAATTAGGAAATTTAGAATTTAGGAAAAGAGAATTGTAGGCTTTGATAGTGTCATACTAGGAGCTATTAGCAGAAAAAATGAACTGGTTTTTTCCTACATGGTGTGGACATTGCTTCTTGTACTTTGGTGCACCTCTAAGATTTATTGATTTGATATGTGTATACCTTGAACACGAAAAGTTTGCGGAACACTGATCTATGCTAGCGTCATCAAAGCGTATGCTTACGCATATATATATGTAACACAAATTACACATTAAGGAGAGAAAGAAATATGCAAAATATGAATTTGCATGAGAGTCCACTTCCAGCACCACCAAAATATTTGTCCGCTTTACGTTAAATATCATTATGATTATACCTGCTATCGGGAGAGTAAATAGGTATATGTTATTCTTATAGATGAAAAGGAATATTTATAATACATAAAGGACCATATTGTACTACGAGTATATGTAGATTCCTGTTCGGAATCAGTATTATCTTTTCTCGCTGTCTCTATAAACATCTGAATTTTGGCTGATCTTTTCGCTCGTCACTTTGGTTTTTACCGATTATCAAACTTATTCTTCCCTTGAATGTAAACAATCCCAATGTATGAATGTTTGAGCCCAACATTCAAGATTCAAGATTTTATCTAAATGAGGAAATATTTAGCCTAGACACACCAAGATCCCTGATATAAATCAAATGGATCTCAATGGATTTTGTGCAATTTTCTCTGCTAATCTTTCGCACTGCCTTGGCTCTTTGTTTACCTGGAAAACCCCCTAGGTATAGTAGGACCTAAGTCGATTGCAAAGTCAATATTTGTTTTGCTGGCTGGTTGGGTTAGGGGTAAACAAACAACGATTATCCGATTTTTCTGGATTAAAATAATAGAGCCACGACCTAAGACTGTCTGAGCTGCTTCGGATTGTATCGTTCAAGGATCATTTGGAATAGTTTGGGATCGTTTTTGGGGTAATGACTTCATTAATTGCCATCACCCAGACACGTAGGATGGCCAGTGTTCGAGTTCTTGGATGAGGTGTGAATTTGAGGTAAGTCTGAAATAGGGCAATTACGAGGGATTCAATTCGGAGGAATCGGAAGGGCAATTAACACCTTGGTTGGAGTTTGCCTCAATTCTGATAAGCGGTGAAAACTCAGGGAACACTGCAATTTTCCCGATTCCACTTTTGGATGTCTTGTTTTTTTTTCGGAAAAACATTTGGCATTGGCACAGCTTGACATCCGAAATAGGAGTTCCGAGAGTTCTCTGCAATGATGTCCCTGCTCCCCGTAGAGTTTGTTGAAATCTCCAGCCAGGTCCGGGGAATGTGCAGCTACTTAAAGGCTCTAATGTGCCACAGCAATGGGCCGGCAGGATTTCCATTTCCGATTTCCTGCTGTGAACAGAAGCGTGTCAAGGCTGCTGAATGGAACACTAAGGGATTTCGAGTGTAAGGAAGGACTGCTATTATTTTTAGATAAATTAGAATAAGTATTTATTTTCAAGGCACTTGCTACTTATCATAGAGATCTTAGGATGGACATATATAGTACTTATACGTATACTTATTATAGGATGGACTATGATCTAGACTTGGCTATAGAAAATTGGTGCTACTCGGGGAAGTCCTGAAGATGTTTTCCATATGGAAAATGTCTCTACTTCCCCCTCCCCACATCTTCTTCCCTGTGTATGTATGTACATCTTTGGCGACATCAATCACGGATCAGGTGACACCTGCTCCCGATCCTATCCTCCTGCAATCCCCAGCTCCACTTCTAATACCAGGAGTGGTGATAGAACGGCTGCGGAGGCATCGTCGCGTAGTTGACCTTCGAGGGCGATGCGAAGGCGGCGGCATTGAAGTTCTGCGGCATGAAATGAGTCGAAGAGGTGGGCGGATAGTGAGGATGTCCCGCTCCGGCATACTGTGGATGGTGCGCATGCGGATGCGGATGTGGAGCGTGCCCATGATGCGATCCGTGCGGATGGGGATGGCCGTGAGCATGATGCGAATGGGAATGCGAATGCCCCGTGGCCGTGGGATATGGGGCATATTGCGGCGTGTGCTGATACGGATGGAACATTTGATGGGCGGCTGCCGACATCTCCAGGGCCTGGCTGGTGGAGCTGGTCGAATTCAAAGAGTCTTCCGGGGAGAGCGGGGCGTTCGGGCGCAGGCTCTGCATCGAGCTCCAGCTGCTGTAGAGCTGAGGCTGTCCAGCAGCTGCGGCGGCGGCTACCAGATCAGCGGCCTCCACTTTCAGTGCGGCCGACAGTTCCTCACTGCCACCGCTGGCATTGATCAACGACTGCGAGGACTCGCCGGTGGGACCGGCTCCACCCACAACCGCAGAGAGGCTGTTGGGTGTTGGCGGCAGCTGACCAAAACCGGAGGAGACGGACTCGTTGGGACTCTCGTTACGTGGCATTGTCTGATGCGGCTCAGATTCAGTGCTGTAGACGGAGGAACCCACTCCAATGCCCACTCCCAAGCCCAGTTGTGTCTCATAGCTGGGAGTGACTCCAGAGACGATGATATTGCCGGAGCCTGAACCGGAACCGGGAACGGAACCAGAGTTGGCGCTCGATGGCATGATGTAGCTGGCCGTGCTGACGGCACTCGGATTGTAGAACTGGTGGTGATGCGGTGGTGTTGTGGCCGAGTTCAGGGAGGATAGGGTCAGGCTGGAGCCGGGCGAGAGGTTGCTCCCCACCGCCGTGGCCGTTGGGGCTGCGGTGCTGTAGAAGTCGTACTGTTGCTGGTATACGGCTGCCGCTTCCATGCTAGGCATCATTGCCAGGGGCGCCATGCTGGGCACGCTGGAGGGTATGGAGACGGACGGCATAGAGGAACCTACTCCGGATCCGGGGCCGCTCGAGACGGAGTTGTGCTGCTTGCGGAGGCGTGCCCGGCGATTGCTGAACCACACCTGGATGCGGGCCTCGGTCAGATTGGTGCGCTGTGCGAGCTCTTCGCGGGTATAGATGTCCGGGTACTGGGTGCGCTCAAAGGCGCGCTCAAGCTCGTCCAGCTGGGCGGCGGAGAAGGTGGTGCGGCAGCGACGCTGCTTGCGCTTGAGGGCGATCCCGGGCTCGCTCTCGCAGTCGGAGAGGTCGTCGTCGGAGGGCTTGTTGTTGTTGCTGTTGTTGTTGTTGTGGTGGCCCGACGAGAGGTCGGAGCCGCAGGAGCTGGACGGGGCCTTGTGGTGGCCGGCGGAGGAGGACGAGGGCGACAGCTCGCTGTCCAGTGGGGCATCGCGGCCGCGCACCAGGCGCGATATGGCGGACACGGATGGGGCCGTGCTGCGGTCACAGATGCCCTCGCGAATGAGCTTCTCGCGTATCTCCCAGGAGAACATGCCCGGGTTGGTGCGCTTGTAGTCCTCGATGCGGTTCTCGATCTCGGGCGTGGCGATCCTCGGCTTGGATCCCCCAATCACTCCCGGGCGTATCGAGCCGGTCTCCTGGTAGCGGTTCAGAATCTTGGACACGCATCCATGGGAGACGCGCAACTGGCGTGAGATCACGCATGGACGGATGCCATCGGCGGCCATCTCGACGATCTTTAGACGTATATTATTTGGCAGTGGACGTCCGTTTATGAATACTCCGCCCAATTGATTGACTCGTCCTTGGCCGCTGTTCATGTCTGCAAAGGGAGAGACGGGAGGGAAAGTTAGACAATTTTTCAAAGATAGTTTCCAATTTGCCAGGTAGGAGGCTGCGCGTGTCACGACCGTAGCCACTTGATTTACGACACCTCTCGCACAATTGACTTCCAGGGAAGGGGAAGAGACAGTCGGCATTCGGCAGTCGGAGCGAAGGTCATTCCGTCTCAACGACGCGCGACTCTCCCGCCGAGAGCAACTAATGGCCATTAGTGAGTCCTTGGAGAGAAGATGGACTGTACGATCTGTTGATCGCTCAATTTTCGAACCGTTGAAGGAAAGTCCGAGCTCGACCCCTCAATACCGAGGGACTGTTGAACGCCTGTTTCATCTCTCAATCTTCGGAGAAGAGAAGGACTGGACATCCCAAAGCTTTAATGGACTGTTCGGTCTCTCAATCCCCCAAGATGCCTTTCGGATGATCCAAGACACTTACCTTGCATAGTGGAATATCCATTGAAGAAGGGTCTGTGCATTGCGGCGGCAAAGGCGGTTACAGTCATAGTTTCAGTGGCTCCCAGTGGCAAGACCACAAAATATTTTCCCGGAACTAACCGGCGTGCTCTGTTCCGATTGTTATCGCACTTTCTTTCGATTTTCGACACTTGACAATCGATCAGAGCATTAAGTGAGTGTAGCAAAATTATAATTGGCGATTTGTTTCACTATTTCGATAAGCATAGCCACGACACTGGCTGGTGACGGAGGCAACGGCAACGGAGGCGAAACGAAACGCAAGACGAAGACGAGATGTGGTCTGACTCGTTGCGCAGTCTGGGCCTAACTGACTTCACCAGACGAACGGCGGCCAAGATCGTTGCCTTTCTGTGAAGAAGGCGACGGCGACGGCGACGACGACAGCGGCAGCCAAGATGTCAGCCATCTGGCAGGTAAAGCAATACGCGGACCAATCGCCGCTCGCTCAGCCCTGGCTTCTCCCTCGCACTCGTGCTTAGATCTCAGACCAGCCAGCACGCCATCCCGCTCTTTGGGGGCGTCTCAGCAAAAGCAATTGTAAAGACGGGAATGAGCAGCAGAAATTGGGGGGGTGTACCATATTGTCATATTCCAGCCTGGTCTTCTGTTGGTCATGGCACCAGTCCTGGGCATAGTTTTTCATGAAGAGGGGTTCCGGGTCCCACTTTTACCCCTGGAAATCAAATTAGATATTCAATGGAACGCATAATGCAATCGAGTATGCATTAAACAGTTTACAAGCGTAATATATCCTTTATTGATACCTCATTAGCGCCCTCAATTTATATGCTTCCAGGCCTCTACCTGTCCGACAGTTGGCCACGGCTTCCGGAACCGAACAAAGACCCATCGGACTTGGATCGAACTACTCAAGGAAGCTTCTTTTCGGATACGAAGGAACGAAATGCTTTTAGAATGCTATTGCAGAGACATTCTAGGGGGAAGCAATGGATACATAGATGAAAGGTGAGACGAGATAGTACTTCCATTAGAATATTTAAATGACGACGTGGATATTCTTAGCATGGATATATTGCTGTGTTGATCTTTTTAGTCCGGTTTTTTTTGTTAGGATATGAAGGATTCCGAAAGTTTATAGAGTGGGTTTTGATCATGCAATAATCCTTATAGCTTAAAGTCGAGATATTCCATAAGAAAATATAAGAATGAAGAAATGGACAATCTATTTGTAAAAGATTGAGCTTAGATTTGATTCGAAAAATCATGGAATTATTCAACAGTACGAACACTAAAACGGTTACTAGAAATATAAAGTCAATCAATTAGCTTTCAGTTCATATTCGAAAAGGAATCGAACTCAAAGTGATGATCTAGACAGGTTCTTCTTTGAAGCGAAAACTGTTCCCATGCATATGCCTTACCCTAGTCGTATCCTAACCATATCCTTGTCACGCTTTTCTCTCCGTACTATTATGCACCAGTGGGCCCAAGCTGACGGCTGATTCAAGCTGCTTCTGGTGGCCAGTCTTTGGGCTTCGTGTGGGTTTGATTAATTATGAAATTTCACGCAACAGAGACCCCTCGAAAAGGTTAAGTAAAACCGCTGGAAAAGAAAGCGAACCGATGGCTGTTGCAACCACTGAAACACACAAAAACCATGGAACAATGGAGGAGCGCCAAGAGTTTGAAGAATTAATGATGGGCCAGGGCCCGGGCCGGGCCCCAGCTGAAACGCCAGCGAGGAAATTGGCCCACAGAGACGTGACGAATCCCGCATCCTCCTGAGAGCCAGTGAGCGAGGATCAAGGACAACGGAGGCCGCAAATCAACAAAAGATTTGGGTTTCTACTGCTCGGTACGGCTGCCCGGTGGGTTTTTGGTTAAGCAAACCCAACGGGAGGAGTACCCAGTACGGAGTACGGATGTGCAGGGTGTGCAAACATTTACGCCTAGCAGGAGACCCAGGACGACCTTGAGCCACTGATCTTGGCCAAAACAGGAAGAAGAATTGGGGTACGCGGCGCCGCAACTGCCGATCAATCCTATTCCGATTCCGATACGGCGTTGATTTCTCGATTTGGCCAAACAATGAGCACTGAAAAGGCCACTCATATAACGCTAATTTTGCGCTATCAACGCGCAAAATATCCAGCATCATCATAGGGATCGGCTCTGCAGCAGAGGAACAGGCCGAGTGGAACAGGGAGAGGGCTGCGAGCGCGGTATGAAAATGCAGAAAACAGTAGGAGGCAGCGGTGCCATAAACGCTGCGAGCCAGCTTCAATCGCATTTCCACGAACGGACTGGACGACAAGCGGAAAAATGAAAACACGTCCATGCAATGAATAAAGATGCTAAGAGACTTTTTATGATGCCACCTAGGGTGCTATGAATGAAAATCATCCTCGTGATCGTTGTCTCAGTCCTCAAAGCCAAGTTTCGTCCAGGCCCATATCCGTACCTGGTATATCGTCTTTGAAAGGATCGTGTGATCAATCAATCTGTGCAAACTAACGATCCTATTAGCCAGGGGAATGGGGGAGCTCTTAACTCCTCCCTCTTTGTTTTCAACTCTCCACATTTCCACCTGCAATCTGTTGATAATTGTTTAGCTTCGCCCTCATAACTTAAAAGATGGAATAACAAATTCCATTTCTTGGCAAACTTTCAAACCTTCTAACATACATATGTGGGTTCGATGGGTAGATTACTCACAAGATCTTTTGATTCTTTCCTCATTCAAATGTAACATCCTTCAAATGCAATGATTCTCCGCATGATCACATGATTTGATCGATCATAAACAACTTGAACTAAACTTAATTTTTGCTTTAAGAGAGCTTTTAGTAAGTATCTCCCAAGTCTTAAAATCTCATCTGATCATCATTCTTGCATAGTTCTTTCCAACTTTGTGTTTTTGCTTTTTCCTCTTGATTTCTGTAGCTGTTTCTGTTTGGCAATCGATTCGCTTTGGGCAAACGTAATGTGCTCTGTTGTCACACATTGGAACGGCCTTGATTGTTTCCACGTTCCCCTGCTTCTAATGTCTTTATCAGGGGTCTCTAGCTTTGTTGTTTTTTCTCTCGGTCTTGTTTGCTGTCGTGGATGCCCTGCCATGCCTGCCTGTTGCTGTGCAACGAATTTCCATGCAGACCACAGAAGGCGAAGGCGATTTTTCCAACCGACCACTCAACGGGTGTCTGGAATGCTTATATAATGAACTATTTAGAGCCATAATTTGTAGAAATTAGGGAACTTAATTTAACATGCCAGACCTTTTAACTTGTCCCATACGTGATCTCTGTGACAGATCCGAATAATGCTCCGAACTTCTGTGCAAGTCTATCTGTTTTTCAAGAGGTGCTAGATTCTCTGCGTGATCTTCCATTATGTTTGAGTGTTGATGTTTCTCTATAGATTATATATGAATTTTCTATGTAATAATCGTCACATACCTTTAATATGTTTCAAAATCTACATAAGACTGACCAAGCAGTTAAAGTAATTATTCAATTATCTTTCCTCTTAAACTTTTAGCTATCCCTTAAATATGGAAACTTTTTTTCCGATCCTCAAGTTTAATGCTGCAGCAGTTCTATAAATGATCTTAAGGAATCTGCTAATCTTTTTATTCCAACCTTGACTTAAACATTGATCCACCTCTTTGATCCTCAAGCTGGCTGCTGATCCTCAAATATTTCCGTTGGCTCAACCAGATCAGACCAGGCAGGCGGCGATTGACTTTTCGGGTAATCCTTAGTAAGTTTTAGTAAATACGCGTCTCGATATGTAGGCAGAGAGGCTGCCCCTGGTCACAGCCCATGCCTCTGCCCTAGGCCCTGCAGACACACATATTCTACGAGTATCCTTATGTGTCCTTATAGTTCCAGGGAGCGATTGTAAAACGAAATCCCCGCTAAAGCATGCAAACAAATAGCACCAAAGTGCGAGATTAGAGGGAAAGTCGCACCAGCTTAGTGCCGGAGAGGAGAGCCACTGGAGGGAGATCCTAAAGATCGCCAGTTGACTTTTTCAAATATTTTGCAAAAGTTCTCAAGTGTTGATCTGTAGCTGGGCATGATTATAGCGGATAATCGCATTACAGTCCAACGTTTTATTGATCAACATTTGTAAACGATTTTCCATGGGGACGAGTTAAACCGGGGCATCGCCACCCCAGGTAGTCCATCCAGCCCATCGAAAAAAAAAAGAAAAACAAAAATGCTGCGGCTTAACGCAGCCAACGCCCATCGATAGGATGGGCCAGGGGCGATCCAGCTTCTGCGAGTGAGGGTCTTTCCCGATCTGCAGGCGGCGATCAGCAGCAAAGCGAATACGATTAACCCTTGCACTTGGTGGCAGCCGAGCGAACCTGGTCCATGTTCAAGTCCTCCATGACAGTTTAGCCGGGCTAATTGAAGGCATTAGTTGTTTGTGGGTCACGAGCTTGGGTTGGCGTTCCCGAGAAATGGCATTGTCTGCAAATTAGCATATTTCGTACGAGTATAACGCATCGCATTTCGATTGAAAGGAACTCCTCGAACTCTGCCCACAATCCAGTGGTCGGTTCGCCGCAGAGTCTTGGTCAGATTCGTCATGGCTGAGACGACGCATTGTCTGGCGGAAATTTTCGCTGACTCTTGAAGGGTGATTCCCGTTTCCCGATTCCCGATTCCCGAGGGCCAAAGGGCCAAAGGGGAGCCCCTGCCACATACACCCAATTTTAAGAAACTCATTAGCCTGGGGCCTAAACAAAAACAAAGCCATCCAATCCAATCGACTGCTAAACGCTGTCGGCACACATCTGAGACCCGGAGGCCAACAAATTGATCATTAAACAGAAGGCGCAAAGGTAGGCGCAACACATCGTTGTCCAACAGCAGATCAGGAGATCAGCATCAGGTCGAGATCAAACATCTGGAGGCACTGAACTGCTGGGCTCTGGCTCTGGGTCTGGCCTGCAGCAGGGCTCTGAAGAAAGTGATGAGGCGCGGCGATCAAGCCAAGACGTCAACAAGATTAATTTGTTTTCCTGTCGGCCGTCAAGGGGCTTCCACCAGCCATCCATCAGCCAGCAACCTGTTGTCCCGAACTCTTGCTGGCTCGCTTGCGCCCGTCCGTCCGCTTTCGGGAGTTCGTTCTCTGATTTGTAATTGCTCTGCTTTGTAGCCGATTGTTGTGGATCATCTTCGATCGTGGACGGATCCACCGTCCACACACCATATACACATCATTAGCTAGCCGTCGAAGATCACAGCACACAGCACACAGCACTCCAAAAAGTAGGTGGCACTTTTCTCACATCTTCGTGGGTTTCGATTATGTAGTTTGTTGGACCTGGTCTTGGATCTGCGGCGGCGTTTGTCCATTAGCCACGCTTCGCATCGGATATATGCGAATTTAAATAATATTATTCAATTGTTTCATTAATCAAAGGCCTTGGAGCTGCGTTTTCTTTATTTGCTTCGAGAAAATGCAGTGCACAAACAGGTTAACAGAGATCTTAAGATTTTAACTTAAGATAATTTAAGCTGTGGTAATATTTTTTCTAGTCATAGAAAATCGATCGTAATCCGTTTGTGTTTTCCATATACTTTTCATATTCATATTTTTTAAAAGTTCGAATAGAAATTCCTATTCAACTGATCGCCTTTATGCTTTGTCTATAACTATTAATGAGCATTGGATTTATTTTAGTCAACAATTTAAAAAATATAAATAGATATGGAATATTTCGTGCTCTAAATATGATTTTAAATGGTAATTTAAGATTAAGTTAATCCTAACAAACTACCAGAATTGATTCAATTTCGATTTCCAGAATATGAAGCATTTAAACTCTGCCGTATTGCCAAGATCAATGATCAAATTCTTCTGATCTTTGAGTAGATCTAATAAATCTAATAAATAAAATGTAGGCCCATGGTTCTCTCCATCAGCTACAAACACAAAAAATTTACTCAAAAAACTTGACATGCCAAATAGATCAAGAAACATGAAAAATAAAAAATATGTGCAGGCCGGAATAAAAAGGCAGCCATGGCGAATCGCATGGGGCGGCTGCAACCGAAACGCACACTTAATTTCCGTTTAATCAAACAGAACAGAAAACCAGGGGCAGCAAACAGCAAATAGCAGCCCACATCATCTGGAGCAGACGGCCCAATCTGGCCCGGCCGCCGCCACCGCCGACGCCCGGAGTCACGACAGACGCAAGGGCTCATTTGCATGCGGGGAGCGAGCGTTAAGCGCTTTGATGGAGAGCGATGGTGTCAGAGCATGAAGAACTCAGTGCCTCATTGCGCAATACCGAAGGAGATGCGGCTGGGAATGGGGATGGTGATGAGGATGAGGATGAGAAAGAAGTTCTTTAGGGGGTGACTTGAATTTCAAAGGAAAACTGGGAGTTTTCCAGGAAAACATTGCAGGCCCTGTAATCGCAATTTGTATGGCCTATAGAAAATATATCAAAAGATAGCGTTGACGATGATCTGTGATCCTGGGCAGACACACGCCACGACCGCGACCTGAATGGTGGTGCTTATAAAACCGCAATCATTGCCATTACTGAACAATCGCGAAAGTCCATTATGGCATGATCAATAGCTCATAAAATTGCGCCTCTTCCACCTTCTTTCGCTGGAAGGATGCGGAAAAGTCGGAAAAAATAAATATATAAATGCTGCGATCAGTGACCGTGAAATCGCAGCCAATATATGGAAAGGTTATATCTACACAAAGTTTCCAAAAAAAGATGTGCAAGAAGGAAGTAAACTCTGTAAAGAGAAAGAGAGACAGAAGGAGATGCTGATGCGCATTTTATGACGGTAAAGACGACCAGGAACAGGACCGGGTCCTGAGTTCCGTTTCAACACTCTTCCTGAGAAGCATAGCGTGCGCTGGTGCCGACCGAGACTCAGGTAAACTCGCTAAACTCCAAGCAACCGATTATATCCAAATAAATAATTTTATGACAAACCTCTTGTTCATTAAAAATTATGTCAAAAAAGAGCAAAGGACCATCCAGGTTTTGTATATTGTGATCAGCTGTATGGGCCAATACCGCATTGTGTTCTATCGAAAGGGTTTTTACGTTTTCGACTTTTGTTTTTGACTTTTTGACGGTTGTCTTGACTTTTCGAACCGTTTAAGTTCCAGGAAATCTTAAAGATGGTATATTTTGCCGTTGAAAAATGGTGAGAAAATATGTTTTCCCCTTTTTCATAAAATAAAACAGCTAAATGTTTTCTATAACACCCTTAATGCGTGCTGTAGCCCAAAAATAAAACACTAAATTATGCATTATTTCAACTGAAGCTCCGCCCATGCTGGGCACGTTCATGGAACCCTCAGCAGTTCAGTTCATACGATATCGTCGAAAACTCCGCCCCAAATGGAAGAATGGAAGTACACATTTTACCACAATATGTACTTCGCTGCGTGGGCGTGCCGAATCGTGAATTCGTTTTGCTCTTTCGGTAAACTAAACTGTGCGGTTAAGGTAGAAAAACACCCAACCCAAAACCAAACCAATTGACCATATGAGATGAATCGAAAAACTAGCCAGGAGAGATGACCTTCGTGCAGAAGAGAACACTCAGACCGGCTTTGACTCCCTACTGCAAAAACCCCTGTGTCCTGGGTGTAGGTGTGGGTGTAGCGTTCTGGTTTTAGAATTGGTCGCGCCTAGGCGTAACCTTGATGGATTTGTTGACTTGGTGATTGCTTTCCCCTCACCGCTGCGATGCGCTACGCTGCGATGCTCTACGCTGAGCTGCAGTACGAGTATGTGCGGTTTGGGTTTCTGGTCGCAGTTTTGGTCGCCGATCTTCATGGACGCACAGCAAGGTGCTTGTCCCAGCATGTTTGTGTTTCGCAGAAGAACCGTAAATATTTTGGGTGATTATTTTAGATAATCTTCGACTAATGTCCTTGGATTGTTTCATTTTGTTACCGAGTTTTGCACAAATATCTATAGTCCTAATGTTCAATGTTGGAAACTTAAGTAACACAGAATAAATTCAAATGTTTAAAAACCTATAAAACTTGAGGGCCATCTGTTTTCTTTATTTAAGAGGACCCAACTCTTTTGTTTGGTTTTTCTGTAAAATTGTTTATTATTATTATTATTATACCCGTCATTTATTAATTTACAAGGAAATATAAAAACACGTTGATTGCATTTCAGTCCCGCATAAACGGATTTATCCATTTCAATGCTCCCAATAATTACACATTTAAATTTGAATTTTCAACTGCCGTTCTGTCAGTAAATTGAACCGACGGTATATTTACGGTTGTTTGTATTAGCCAAAATACAATAAAAGGCCTAAAAACTAGCCAATCTTAAAGAAAATGTATTCCTCAACGGCCTAAAATTATGTGGGCAGGGCTAAATGTTCTATATAGCTAGTAATACTCCACGGAATATCACAAACGAGGAATAAGTAAAATATAACTTTAAATCGTCAGTATATTTACGGTATATTTTTAACATGACATAACGGTATATTTTGGTATATTTCTCAGGCTCGGACGGTATATTTTATCGATAAGTATTTTATTGCAAATACGTTGGTGGTAATTTCATTTTTAACGTAATATAGAAATGCAATAAAAGCAAGTATTTAAATAAAGCCAGTCAATTATTCATTAATGGGAAAAAATTATGTGGGCATGGCTAAATGTTCTATATAGTTAGTAATAAACCACGGAATATCAAAAACGAGGAATATGTATAGTAGAACATGAATTCGTTAGTATATTTACGGTAAAAGTCCGCGGTCACACTGCTCCCAACCCCCTTCCCACGGAAAATTAGAATTAAAAGATTTTTCTTTAATTTTTTACAAAATGTCTGAGGAAAAGCAAAACGGAGATGACTTAAACGACCTGCTGGACAGTGAGTGGATGGCCCATTTGGAGCCGCATTGAATTTTGACAAAATTATGTAATGCTCGATTTCATGTTAAAATTTTCCCTCGGCAGGTGCTCTGCAGGATTTCGACAAAAGTGGTAATAAGAAGGAGAAGGGCAAGGCCACCGATGCGGCAAGCGCCGAGGTCGCCGAAGGTTCCGAAGACCCTGATGCATTTTTCATGTGAGTCACGGGAGTCTGCAGCAACTTCTGTGTTGCTGCGCGATGTCATGAGCCAACTTTTGAACTTTGTATTCTCCAATTGCAGCGAGCAGGCCAAGGTATTGGCCGACCGCATGAACACATTGTTCGGTGGTCCGGATACGCCCAGTGGGGATATCCCACCGTTGCCGCAGGACCCAGATCAGATCATGTCTGGCTTCAAGAAGATGGCCGAGGCAGCCGCATTGACTTTGAGTGGCGAGAACTCGGCCACCGATGAAGACGTCTCCAAGTATTCAGACAGCATTTCGCAGGCCCTGAAAGGTCTTCAGGAAGGCACTGACAATCTGGCAGCACCTGCCTCCGAGAATGACATTGCCAGCATGTTTGGTTCCTTAAATCTGGATGGTGTAAGTGTGGTCTGAAGCCTAAGTCACGTGAAATCAATCATTATTCAAATTTTTAGAGTGGCGCCCCTGATGGCAACATGTTCCTACCCTTCATGGAAGGCATGATGCAGAGCCTGCTTTCGGCTGAAATTCTACTGCCCAGCATTAAAGAGCTGTTGGAAAAGTACCCCAAGTACCTCGAAGAGAACGATGCCAAGCTATCGGCTGAGGACAAAGAGAGGTTGGCTAGACATTGATTTAAATGGTCATACATTTCTAAACGGTTACATGTCCCGTGTCTCCCTAGGTACCAAAAACAGATGGAGCTCTACAAGGTAATCGAGGGCCACTTGCAGTCGGAAAAGCCCGACGATTCGGCCACCGTCAAGCGCGAGAAGTTCCGTGTGGTTCTGGACGATATGCGAAAACTTCAAGACTATGGACAGCCACCAGCTGAGATTCTGGCCGAGACGGGCGGTGATCTGCCGTTTACCGATCCCACAGCAGCTATCGCCGGTGGCAATGGCCCAAATCCCCAGTGTCCCACCATGTAGGTGGAAGAGAAGGTGCAATTTCTTTTGGAACACTTTCCCCGTAGTGTGCCAATTCGGTTAACTGTTGAGTGTTGCACATTTTTAGGATAAGAACTTTGTATTTTTATTATTTTCTGTATTTCTGGACAAAACAAAATGTCAATGTGGTGGTCTCCTCAGATGGTTATCTCTCTTGAGCTGAGAAATTGTTTTTATTTTATGTTCTCTAAGCTAAATACAAAGAATCGAAATACATTTAGAGGAAGAAGCGTCGTCGGGACTCCATGGCATGTCGTTTGTTACTAATTATCCAGGCATAGTCCCCAGTTTTGCTGTCGAATGTTCCCTCCTGAAGCGAGCGCAGCTTGAGCGTGAACCTGGGCCCTAATTCGCGAAGCTTCACGCGCTTTCCCTCTTTGGAGAACTCGTAGCGATGGTGGCGGAAGAATATGTAATCGCGTTGATTGTGAAACGTTGCCGCGCGCCGGCCCTTGAACTCTGGATCGTGATGGAAAAGGGCGCCAAGCATACGGCCGACTGTGAGACCCAAGCGCGTTGTGAAGTTGGTCAGAATCACCTCGGGCCTATGCTTGGTTATCTCCTTGTGATCCCGCTTGATGTCCGATGTAAGCTTGACGTTCGACAACTTGAAATGTGCCGTGGGGCCGTTAGGCAAGTGGATGACCAACAAACCATTCGGTTTCCTTCTGTCCTCATTGATGATGACCACATCTGTGAATTCCTCGCGTTCGGCGCTTTTGCAGATTTTCTTAACTGATGCCTTATTCCGAATCTTGACCAGGGCATTCGGGAATATGCGAGACAGCTCCAGGCCAAATTTTCGTGTCTTGGTCACGGGATTGTCGGCGAAGGTAATCAGGACTTTGGGCTCGTACACGCGTTCAAAGTACGAACTGAAGTCATCGATTTCCAGCTCTTTCTGCAGTTCCTCGTTGTCCGAATCGTTCAGATTGGCCACCTCTGTCTGATCCTTCTCACGCAGGCTTTCAATTGTGTGGCCCGGATTGACCGGCACGCCAGCCTTGCGACGGGCACGTCTTTCTTGCATCTTCTTCTTGTGCTTCTCCTTCTTCATTTTGCGATAGAGAGCCAAGCGCTGTTCCTTGTTTCTCATCAAGCTTAGTGGATTGAAAAGTGGAATGCGTGCCTTCTTTTCATCTTCATCATCATCCTCGTTGTCGTCATCGTCATCCTCATCCTCATCCTCATCTTCATCTTTGATGGCGGTGTCCTCGGCATCGTCGTCGACATCACCGTCATCATCTTCCTTTGGCTGTTGTTTGCGTTTGCTAGTATGTGGTTCTTCGTCTGTGCTATCGTCCTCTGGGTTTATTTCTTTGTCCTCGGTCTCCTCCTCTGCGAAGCTCGAATCGCTGTCCGAGTCCTCGTCCACTGGAGGCGGAAGCGGGAGTTTTCTCTTTATTTTAATCATTTTTCTGTAAAATAAATTCAAGCCCCGCACGTGTTGATGTTGTTCTTCTTCTTGAAAAATTCATTCACATTGGTACGTCGACAATTTTTATTAATAACCTTAATGGGTTAAAGCTGACAGCTGACAAAGTCACTGAAATACAGAATTTCTTCGATATAAAGCATTTAAATTTAATGGGATTCCGTGTTTTGGAACTATTCAGCGGCATCGGGGGCATGCATTATGCCTTTAAATGTGAGTAGATATTATGTAGGAATGAAAATCCTATTGACATTCGTATTGCATTGCAGATGCCCAGCTAGATGGCAATATTGTGGCCGCAATGGATGTCAATACAGTGGCCAATGCTGTTTATAATTTTGCGCTCAATTGCCATGTGAAGACGAGAAACATTCAAAGCCTCAGTGAGAAAGAGGTCAGCAAGCTGGGAGCTACCATGCTTCTTATGTCGCCGCCGTGTCAGCCGCACACCCGCCAGGGATTACAAAGGGACACGGAGGACAAGCGATCGGATGCACTCACCCATTTGTGCACTCTCATTCCGCAGTGCGAAACTCTCCAGTATATTTTGATGGAAAACGTTAAGGGATTCGAATGCTCTCAAGCTCGAAATCAATTCGTTGAAGCCCTGGAGAAGGCTGGATTCTATTGGCGGGAGTTTATACTGACGCCCACACAATTTAATGTTCCCAATACTCGCTATCGGTACTACTGCATTGCTCGCAAGACTGAAGACTTTGCCTTTGCTGGAGGTAAAATCTGGGAGGAAATGCCTGAAAGTCCCTCAACCGAACAGTCTGTTTCCCAAATCTCCGCGATCCTTGAGGACAATGTCTCTTGTGAATACCTTGTACCCGACGACGTTCTAACCAAGCGGGTGTTGGTCATGGACATAATACATCCAACACAAAATAGATCTATGTGCTTTACCAAAGGCTATACGCACTATACTGAAGGCACGGGCTCGGCCTTTACACCGCTTTCTAAGGAGGAGTCCCATCGTATATTTGAGTTGGTGAAAGAAATGGACAATAATAACCAGGATACCAGTAGTAGCTCTGAGGATGTGCGGCAGCGACGTTTGGATCTCCTACGACAAATAAAACTACGTTACTTCACACCCCGGGAAGTGGCACGGCTGATGAGTTTTCCCGAGGAGTTTGCCTTTCCCCCTGAAACAACAAATCGACAAAAGTACCGGCTGCTCGGCAACAGCATTAACGTTAAAGTTGTTGGTGAATTGATTAAACTGTTGATCGCAACAAAGCAGTAGAAAAAACTGTCCCATGGCATTACGTCTCTATAGTTCATTCCGCCGTTTCCAAAAAAAAAAACGTTGGTACTGTTTTTGTCAAAATGTTGCCACGGCTCTACTTTATACCCGGTACTCAGTCAGTATATGTATATGTGAGCTTATGATTTCTGCAACTTGATCATGATTAACTTGTAACTGTCATCATGAGCCAGCCACGCTTTGCAACGCTTTTTTACGCTTTCAGAGTTTGGTTTCTGTTGTTTTTCATCACTTTTCCATGTCCTGCGCTGCTCTGGTGATTTTCTCAGTTGGCGGTCGCGAACTTTTTTTTAACTGGCCGCCCTGCGGTGGACTCAGCTGTTTGAATGTTGCCGGATTGGATTGATACTGCATCCACGATCGCATGCATCCCGCCAGCAGCTCGTACATTATTTATTTACCTGTTCTTTTTACGACGTACGACCTATGTGCTTCGCATGTGCATGCATTACCGACATCGTCTTCCCTCATGCACGATGCTTTAACTTATCGGCTTTGGGTAAGTTGTCCTTGTTTACCCCATATTCATAATTTCCATTGATAATTTTTTCTTGGATCTTCTCTTATTTTTCAAATCAAGGATTTTCTGACGATCCCAGGAAGCTGTCGCACGCCTAGATCAGACCACAAATAATGAAGAAATCAAAATATGTTTGCATCATGAAATTTGCCAAAAATCGGCCTAATTTTCATAGGCTGTTCGACAGTCTGGACCCTCACGATCCTGGGAGAGTTGGTCCTTCAACAATCGTCCCATAAATAGTCGAGATGTAGCCTTTTGAAGATTTCGATTTTGCATTTCATTAGAGTACTGGTTTTTTCTGAACGCCATTTCTTTGCTATGCTGCAGCCGATCTGAGTGCAGCATGTCTTTTCGTGATCGGGAGGGTCCTGCCAATCGACTGCCATCGGAAAAAGGGACATCCCTTTTTTCACGATTTTCGCAAAATCGAAACGAAGATTTCGTCGTTTATTATGAGGGCGCTGGACTCGGACCGATCCAGCAAAGGTTCTGCCTTACCAAATAAGGTGCCCGAGGACTATGAGAAAATGTTCGAGACGATCGTGAAGGTCACCAAGGAAATGGTTGACTTTCGTAAGTAGTATACGTGATGCTGTATCCCACTCTGGCCATTGCTTACCTGCAAATGGTGTGGAGCGGAAAGTAGCAGAGGGCTATATCCTTCGTGGGTGGGAACAAACACGAGCTGGACGATTCGTACAAGAGGCGCATCGAAAAGCTGAAGCTGATCCGCAAGCCACTGGACGTGCCACAAAGAGCCCTGGAACAGCTATCTGGTGCGGACAAAGTGAAGTTCTGCATGTCCAGAAGCACCTTCAACCTATTCAAGGTACCCCAATCGCAGCTTTGGTCGAATGGGCACCTGAATCGGCTTTTGGTCCACTTCGAAATCCTAACTTACACTGACGACAGGATGCCCCAGGAGCGGATTCTCTGCTGTCTAAAAATAAAATTATTTTGTTTACAGAAAAAAACGAGGAAATACGAATATTCCAGTCTATAAAACTCGACTTCGATACGTGTAATTTTCTTTGGTTCTTTTTAGTCAAATTTCTTGAGGATCATCATCAGTCTTCTTGCACTTTGACTTGTTGGATTTGCGGGATTTGCGAGACTTGCGGGGTGGCTTTGAGCAGCTTTTCTTGGACCTCCTGCTTTTGCGCTTTTTGCAAGCCGACTTCTTGCGTCTGCGCTTTCCACAACTCGCCTTCATGGGCTTACTTTTAGCACAGCTGGGCTCGCTTTTACGCGTCCAGAAACATTCCTCCTCGTCCAGGGAGGAATCAGTCGACACTACTGCAGGAGCTGTTGTGCTGGCTATGGCATCCTGTTCAGTGCAGAGCAAGCTGCTGCTGTTGCCTTGCTTAATGCGTCCTATGGAGCTTGCAGGTCGATAGTCAGGCTGTAGGGAGCAAAAGGGAACTGCTGCACTCATTAGTGGATTTAAATGCGCAAAGAACTCACCGCACGGTACCGAGCTCTGTGGTCTGGGGACATCGCACGCCAACGCTGCGCTGCGACGTGTACCACCCTCTGTCCGTGGTATATGGATCCAAACCGGCGTTTGCAGTCCCGCAGGTAATTTAAATATGCGTTAACATAGCTCATCTTAGACATTTTTCATAAAAGCAAAGAATAAACAACAAAAATTTGGAAAAATTACAATAAAAATACTAGTACTAATTATTTGAAATAAAAAAAAAAGTAAATTTGTAGCTACAGATGTTGCTCGTACAGAGAACAACCTCCAACTAAACTGAGTCCTGGGCGTGGCTTTGCTTTCGATCCGACATAACATTTCATTAGAATACTGGGTTTTTCTGAACGCTATATCTCTGCTATACGGCAGCCGATCGGAGTGCGGCATATCTTTTGGAGATCGGGAGGGTCCTGCCAATCGACTGCCATCGGAAAAAGGGACATCCATTTTTTCACGATTTTCGCAAAAAATCATGATGGTTACATCATTAAATTTTCCAAAAATTGGCCTCATTTTCATAGTCGAGATTTTGATGCTGTTCGACAGTCTGGACTCTCAAGATCCTGGGAGAGTTGGTCCTTCAACAATCGTCCCATAAATAGTCGAGATATAGCCTTTTGAAGATTTAGATTTTGCATTTCATTAGAGTACTGTTTTTTTCTGAACGCAATATCTCTGCTATACGGCAGCCGATCGGTCTGGATCGGACAGTCTGGACTCTCACGGTCCTGGGAGAGTTGGTCCTTTAACAATCGTCCCATAAATAGTCGAGATATAGCCTATTGAAGATTTAGATTTTGCATTTCAGTAGAGTACTGGCTTTTTCTGAACGCTATATCTCTGCTATACGGCAGCCGATCGGAGTGCGGTATGTCTTTTCGTGATCGGGAGGGTCCTGCCAATTGACTGCCATCGGAAAAAGGGACATCCATTTTTTCACGATTTTCGCAAAAAATCATGATGGTTACATCATTAAATTTGCCAAAAATCGGACTCATTTTCATATTCGAGATTTTGATGCTGTTCGACAGTCTGGACCCTCACGATCCTGGGAGAGTTGGTCCTTCAACAATCGTCCCATAAATAGTCGAGATATAGCCTTTTGAAGATTTAGATTTTGTATTTCATTAGAGTACTGGTTTTTTCTGAACGCCATCGCCGGAGCCGATCGGAGTGCGGCATGTCTTTTCGAGATCGGGAGGGTCCTGCCAATCGACTGCCATCGGAACACCGATTCGCTTGTTTAGCAGGGGCATCACCTTTTTGGTCTTCCGGTTCATATGAGCGAGTGGGTGCCCGATGACGGCTGTCCACTCCAGGAGTCTGACCGACTGACATCGTGAACCCCCGCTGGCTCCTGCGCACGTGGCCACGATGCCGTGCGAACCTCGGGACATGATTCTTGTCACGCGAGGCTGTGGCTTTCTGTCTGACATTTTGGTCCGGCCACTGCTACGGCCCTCTTCCTTGCATGCCACGCTGTTTTCTTCGTCTTTCCAGTTCGCTCGCTGTCGGTAACTCCTCGTCCTCTGTGGCAGCCACTGGCTGGCCTGTCCTGATGACGCTGCTATATATAATTGTGGATATATTTTTAATTCTATCTTCCTTCACAGAGAACTTACATATGTACCCTACGCTTTGCCACAAACCATGTCGTATCTGATTTGACCCAGCCAGACGGTCCTATCCAAGCATGAGCGAGGCGTTTTCGAGTCAGACCGAGTATCCCATTGCAAGATTCATACCTAACAAGCCATCGTCATCCTTCAACATGGTGATCGACAACAAGGACTTTGGCTATGGCCACCAAGGGAGGCACTACGCGGGACGCTAGATACACGCATCCATTCATTTAGATAGTACGTAAAAAATGTTTTCCACTTGTTTATTTATTTATACTAAGCTAAGTTTTGATGAATAAAACTATTGAAAAATCATCCTTGCTGTATCCTTAATCGGGGAAACTATCTCGATTGCAAAAAGGCGCGGCACGCCGAAATCGGTTCGCAAATAGCGGAGAAAACTAAATATTTGTAGTTGGGGAAAATGTCCTTGATCCTTGATAAGGACTAGCAAATCAGGGACATTTTTCCGATCACAGGGAGCCATCGCAGGCTCAGATCGGTCCACAAATAGCCGAAAAAACTAAATATGTATGGCTGGGGTTTTTGGAGTCCTTATCAAAGGATCAAGGACATATATCTGATCAGGGGAAGCCATGGCACGCCCCGATCGGGCCACAAATAAAGGAGAAAACAAGATATATAGGTCTGGGGACAATATCCTTGATCCTTGGTCCTTGATAAGGACTGCATTAGATCAAGGATGCTATTCCGAGCACAGAAAGATGACGCATGTCCCGATCGGGCCACAAAAAGCCGGGAAACTAGATATGTATGGTTGGGGCGGTTGATGTCCTTACCGAAGGATCAAGGATCAAGATCTGAGCACGTGGTTCCTTGGCACGTCCCGATCGAACCTAAAATAATGGCAAAAACAATATATATACGTCTGGAGTAAATATCCTTTATCCATGGTCCTTGATGAGGACTCCATCAAATCAGGGACATTTTTCCGATCACAGGAAGTCGTCGCACGTCCCGATCGGGCCTCAAATAACGGAGAAAACAAATCTAGGCTGTAATTTGTTATTTTTGAAAATGTAGTTCAAGAAATCACCGATAGGGGCGCCCCCGTACAAATAAAATAGCTCGCGTCAAATGGCTGGGATACCAGGCGAACAGAAATCAGCAGCAAGCAACTGTAGGAACTGCAAAAATTTTTCGCAGCATACCTTAGGGGGCTCGAAATTTAAAAAATCATCGACCTTCTGCTGATTTCTGTTTGCCTGGTATCCCAGCCATTTGCCGCGAGTCTTTTCTTTTGTACGGGGGCGCCCCTATCGGTGATTTCTTGAACTACATTTTCAAAAATAACAAATTACAGCCTAGATTTGTTTTCTCCGTTATTTGAGGCCCGATCGGGACGTGCGACGACTTCCTGTGATCGGAAAAATGTCCCTGATTTGATGGAGTCCTCGTCAAGGACCATGGATAAAGGATATTTACTCCAGACGTACATATATATATTGTTTTTGCCATTATTTTAGGTTCGATCGGGACGTGCCAAGGAACCACGTGCTCAGATCTTGATCCTTGATCCTTCGGTAAGGACATCAACCGCCCCAACCATACATATCTAGTTTCCCGGCTTTTTGTGGCCCGATCGGGACATGCGTCATCTTTCTGTGTTCGGAATAGCATCCTTGATCTAATGCAGTCCTTATCAAGGACCAAGGATCAAGGTGTCCCCAGACCTATATATCTTGTTTTCTCCTTTATTTGTGGCCCGATCGGGGCGTGCCCTGGCTTCCCCTGATCAGATATATGTCCTTGATCCTTTGATAAGGACTCCAAAAACCCCAGCCATACATATTTAGTTTTTTCGGCTATTTGTGGACCGATCTGAGCCTGCGATGGCTCCCTGTGATCGGAAAAATGTCCCTGATTTGCTAGTCCTTATCAAGGATCAAGGACATTTTCCCCAACTACAAATATTTAGTTTTCTCCGCTATTTGCGAACCGATTTCGGCGTGCCGCGCCTTTTTGCAATCGAGATAGTTTCCCCGATTAAGGATACAGCAAGGATGATTTTTCAATAGTTTTATTCATCAAAACTTAGCTTAGTATAAATAAATAAACAAGTGGAAAACATTTTTTACGTACTATCTAAATGAATGGATGCGTGTATCTAGCGTCCCGCGTAGTGCCTCCCTTGGTGGCCATAGCCAAAGTCCTTGTTGTCGATCACCATGTTGAAGGATGACGATGGCTTGTTAGGTATGAATCTTGCAATGGGATACTCGGTCTGACTCGAAAACGCCTCGCTCATGCTTGGATAGGACCGTCTGGCTGGGTCAAATCAGATACGACATGGTTTGTGGCAAAGCGTAGGGTACATATGTAAGTTCTCTGTGAAGGAAGATAGAATTAAAAATATATCCACAATTATATATAGCAGCGTCATCAGGACAGGCCAGCCAGTGGCTGCCACAGAGGACGAGGAGTTACCGACAGCGAGCGAACTGGAAAGACGAAGAAAACAGCGTGGCATGCAAGGAAGAGGGCCGTAGCAGTGGCCGGACCAAAATGTCAGACAGAAAGCCACAGCCTCGCGTGACAAGAATCATGTCCCGAGGTTCGCACGGCATCGTGGCCACGTGCGCAGGAGCCAGCGGGGGTTCACGATGTCAGTCGGTCAGACTCCTGGAGTGGACAGCCGTCATCGGGCACCCACTCGCTCATATGAACCGGAAGACCAAAAAGGTGATGCCCCTGGTAAACAAGCGAATCGGTGTTCCGATGGCAGTCGATTGGCAGGACCCTCCCGATCTCGAAAAGACATGCCGCACTCCGATCGGCTCCTTCGATGGCGTTCAGAAAAAACCAGTACTCTAATGAAATACAAAATCTAAATCTTCAAAAGGCTATATCTCGACTATTTATGGGACGATTGTTGAAGGACCAACTCTCCCAGGATCGTGAGGGTCCAGACTGTCGAACAGCATCAAAATCTCGACTATGAAAATGAGTCCGATTTTTGGCAAATTTAATGATGTAACCATCATGATTTTTTGCGAAAATCGTGAAAAAATGGATGTCCCTTTTTCCGATGGCAGTCGATTGGCAGGACCCTCCCGATCTCCAAAAGATATGCCGCACTCCGATCGGCTGCCGTATAGCAGAGATATAGCGTTCAGAAAAACCAGTACTCTAATGAAATGCAAAATCTAAATCTTCAAAAGGCTATATCTCGACTATTTATGGGACGATTGTTGAAGGACCAACTCTCCCAGGATCGTGAGGGTCCAGACTGTCGAACAGCATCAAAATCTCGACTATGAAAATGAGGCCGATTTTTGGCAAATTTAATGATGTAACCATCATGATTTTTTGCGAAAATCGTGAAAAAATGGATGTCCCTTTTTCCGATGGCAGTCGATTGGGAGGACTGTCCCGATCGCAAGAATACATACCGCACTCCGATCGGCTGCCGTATAGCAGAGATATAGCGTTCAGAAAAAACCAGTACTCTAATGAAATGCAAAATCTAAATCTTCAAAAGGCTATATCTCGACTATTTATGGGACGATTGTTGAAGGACCAACTCTCCCAGGATCGTGAGGGTCCAGACTGTCGAACAGCATCAAAATCTCGACTATGAAAATGAGGCCGATTTTTGGCAAATTTAATGATGTAACCATCATGATTTTTTGCGAAAATCGTGAAAAAATGGATGTCCCTTTTTCCGATGGCAGTCGATTGGCAGGACCCTCCCGATCTCCAAAAGATATGCCGCACTCCGATCGGCTGCCGTATAGCAGAGATATAGCGTTCAGAAAAACCCAGTATTCTAATGAAATGTTATGTCGGATCGAAAGCAAAGCCACGCCCAGGATTCAGTTTAGTTGAAGGTTGTTCTCTGTACGAGCAACATCTGTAGCTACAAATTTACTTTTTTTTTTATTTCAAATAATTAGTACTAGTATTTTTATTGTAATTTTTCCAAATTTTTGTTGTTTATTCTTTGCTTTTATGAAAAATGTCTAAGATGAGCTATGTTAACGCATATTTAAATTACCTGCGGGACTGCAAACGCCGGTTTGGATCCATATACCACGGACAGAGGGTGGTACACGTCGCAGCGCAGCGTTGGCGTGCGATGTCCCCAGACCACAGAGCTCGGTACCGTGCGGTGAGTTCTTTGCGCATTTAAATCCACTAATGAGTGCAGCAGTTCCCTTTTGCTCCCTACAGCCTGACTATCGACCTGCAAGCTCCATAGGACGCATTAAGCAAGGCAACAGCAGCAGCTTGCTCTGCACTGAACAGGATGCCATAGCCAGCACAACAGCTCCTGCAGTAGTGTCGACTGATTCCTCCCTGGACGAGGAGGAATGTTTCTGGACGCGTAAAAGCGAGCCCAGCTGTGCTAAAAGTAAGCCCATGAAGGCGAGTTGTGGAAAGCGCAGACGCAAGAAGTCGGCTTGCAAAAAGCGCAAAAGCAGGAGGTCCAAGAAAAGCTGCTCAAAGCCACCCCGCAAGTCTCGCAAATCCCGCAAATCCAACAAGTCAAAGTGCAAGAAGACTGATGATGATCCTCAAGAAATTTGACTAAAAAGAACCAAAGAAAATTACACGTATCGAAGTCGAGTTTTATAGACTGGAATATTCGTATTTCCTCGTTTTTTTCTGTAAACAAAATAATTTTATTTTTAGACAGCAGAGAATCCGCTCCTGGGGCATCCTGTCGTCAGTGTAAGTTAGGATTTCGAAGTGGACCAAAAGCCGATTCAGGTGCCCATTCGACCAAAGCTGCGATTGGGGTACCTTGAATAGGTTGAAGGTGCTTCTGGACATGCAGAACTTCACTTTGTCCGCACCAGATAGCTGTTCCAGGGCTCTTTGTGGCACGTCCAGTGGCTTGCGGATCAGCTTCAGCTTTTCGATGCGCCTCTTGTACGAATCGTCCAGCTCGTGTTTGTTCCCACCCACGAAGGATATAGCCCTCTGCTACTTTCCGCTCCACACCATTTGCAGGTAAGCAATGGCCAGAGTGGGATACAGCATCACGTATACTACTTACGAAAGTCAACCATTTCCTTGGTGACCTTCACGATCGTCTCGAACATTTTCTCATAGTCCTCGGGCACCTTATTTGGTAAGGCAGAACCTTTGCTGGATCGGTCCGAGTCCAGCGCCCTCATAATAAACGACGAAATCTTCGTTTCGTTTTTGCGAAAATCGTGAAAAAAGGGATGTCCCTTTTTCCGATGGCAGTCGATTGGCAGGACCCTCCCGATCACGAAAAGACATGCTGCACTCAGATCGGCTGCAGCATAGCAAAGAAATGGCGTTCAGAAAAAACCAGTACTCTAATGAAATGCAAAATCGAAATCTTCAAAAGGCTACATCTCGACTATTTATGGGACGATTGTTGAAGGACCAACTCTCCCAGGATCGTGAGGGTCCAGACTGTCGAACAGCCTATGAAAATTAGGCCGATTTTTGGCAAATTTCATGATGCAAACATATTTTGATTTCTTCATTATTTGTGGTCTGATCTAGGCGTGCGACAGCTTCCTGGGATCGTCAGAAAATCCTTGATTTGAAAAATAAGAGAAGATCCAAGAAAAAATTATCAATGGAAATTATGAATATGGGGTAAACAAGGACAACTTACCCAAAGCCGATAAGGTAAAGCATCGTGCATGAGGGAAGACGATGTCGGTAATGCATGCACATGCGAAGCACATAGGTCGTACGTCGTAAAAAGAACAGGTAAATAAATAATAAAACCGTCTGGCTGATAAGATAGATTTAACAATATACCCACAATTATATACGGCGTTTGATTCGGCAGCTTATGAAGGCGGGGTTGCTGACATTATTTCCCGTTGGCGTGAACCAACAACTTCGCCGTCGATCACTGGTCACTGTTGCAGCGGACGGGACGCCACATTGTCAGGCCAGCTACACAGGGATGTCCCTTTTTCCGATGGCAGTCGATTGGCAGGACCCTCCCGATCACGAAAAGACATGCCGCACTCCGATCGGCTGCCGTATAGCAGAGATATAGCGTTCAGAAAAAACCAGTACTCTAATGAAATGCAAAATCTAAATCTTCAAAAGGCTATATCTCGACTATTTATGGGACGATTGTTGAAGGACCAACTCTCCCAGGATCGTGAGGGTCCAGACTGTCGAACAGCATCAAAATCTCGACTATGAAAATGAGGCCGATTTTTGGCAAATTTCATAATGCATGCATATTTTTATTTCTTTGTTATTTGTGGTCCGACCTTGGTGTGCGACAGCTTCCTGTGATCGTAAGACAAAAATACTTGATTTGGTCCTTATCATGGGCCAATCAAGAATATTTTCTGCAGTCAAATTGCACTCGATCATATGAACCGGAAGACCAGAAGCGTGAAGCCCCTGGTAAACGATGGTATACATATCGCTGACCGCGGGCACGCAAGAGGAATTCCTAGCCACCCAGGGTGCGACCTCCTAAAATGAAAGAGTTTAATAAAGAAAATGAATAAATAATAACTTAATAACTTTACCGGGTGGGGCTAGAGGAGGGATCGCGGAATGTCAGTTTGTGTCCAGAAAGCGTGTCGCCAAATAGAGCTGGAGGGAATACAAGAATACAATGGAAAAGATAAATATGGGGGAAACAAGGACAACTTACCCGGTCCAAGCCGATTAGGTAAAGCGTCGCGCAGGACGGAAGAGGAGGGCACTATGCTCCTATGCCCCTAACTCCATAACTCAACCTAGTGTAGAAAGGGAATTCATAATTAATAAATTTCATATTTTACTGTTTAAAAAGATTACAAAGTTATATAAAATAAATATATGGAAAAGTAACATACATATAAACTTTTGGTACGTACGTATATACATGTTTTTATTTCTTTACAATTTAACCCATTAAAGGCCGGTTTTAAACGCCTTGCGAGAAGATCTGAGGTGTAGGATGAGCTTTGATATACAAATTATTACAAAAGTTTTTTAACATATTCATTTCATACCCTTAATGGGTTAATTTCAAGCGATGTCCGCAGGCATCGTTGTTCCTCCAGCCAAGGCTTCCATATTTAAAGGATTCACTGGATTCACGTCCTATGTAACTAATTCGATTGAAGGTTCATCACGCACTACGATGTAAGATTTACGCCCGTACATTTTAATGGCGAGCTTTTTAAACAGACTAAAATGAGCATATAAAAAACAACGCCGCTACCTAGCTACCTAGAAATTCATTCTAATACACTCCAAGGAAATGATAAAACTTGAATAATTTTAGCATAGTTCAGGTGAAAGATATCGTGGTGTTTTTTTTTTTTAAGTGAAGAAAAAGGATAGGATGGATATATAAGGAACACTTACAATTATCGTCTGTTTAAATAGCGGCGGGCTAGGTGGGTTAAGTTCGTTTTCGCAGGTACATCCCTGAGAGTCAGACGGTCACACTGTTTCATGCTCCAAAACTCATACTTGCTACGCAAAAATAAGTAAAATCACTCTCCTTGGTTTGATGGACTGTGGAAAGGTATGGATAACAGGTAAAAAAATCCATGGAAAATTGCAAGACTAGTACCAACCTCACCTCGGCGTTTTTATACATGTGATATCATATGATCATGGTATGTTGTGCAAAAGGGGTGCATTTTACCTTGCAAGCGTGGTATTTTCGGGGCTATTTGGCCTGTTCTCCATACCCTATTTTTCCGCTATTTTTGAAAATCCACTGATTTATTTCAACCGCCGCCGCCGCCGATTCCAAAAAAAAAGCTCCGCGCATGCTACTGACAAGAAACGGAAAACGAGAAACTTGCAAACAAAAAAGGGAGAAAAAGTGCGGCTCACAAAAGGAAAACGAGACAACAACAAGAAAACAGTATCGGACGGCGGGCGGCGCAAACTATTGTGTACCTACGGAGCGGCGTAATAATATTATAGAACAACGCAGTAAACAAACGAAACTTCTGCAACGGGCAGGGAAAAAAATTGCATTTGATTGATTTTTGCACAAACGCAAAAGAAGAAAGAGATTTGCTGTTATTTGTTTGTACATGACTGTGCACATGTGTGTGTATGTGTGAGAGTTGAACATTGATAGGACGCTGGATCGAAGAAGAAAATCGCATTACGCTTGTGGTAAGTAACGGGAGTTCTAATTTCTGTTATCTCTGCTTTTTCGTCTTTCCTTTGCTCTCCTCTATCGCTTTGTTTGGCGCCTGCGATGCGCCCTTCCCGCTCGCTGTAACGCGCCGCAGCATTCGACAACAATTCGCCAATTTAAAGCTTTTGACTTCTCCCCCCACATTTCCACCACAGCCTCGCTCCCTGACAAACAGAAATTGCTGTTATTTGAGATGCCTTCTTGCTGTCTCCCTCTCTCGGTGCCAATCTATGGTTGTTTGTTACCAAGATATATTGAAAACTCAAACTTGGTTTGATTTCTACAAATTTAAGAGCATTTTAATAAATTGTTCTGCCCTCTGCACTCTGGAACACAGATTTGGAGGTATTACGTTTCCATTTTATATACATACATATGTATGCATATGTACATATATATGTACCTAGCACAATGCGTGAGTTACCGTCCCGGCACCCCTCGAGATGCCCCCCGCTAAACCACCACGACTCAACTCAGCATAAACATCCACAGCTCAAGTGACACGAGCACGATGTTTATGCCGCCTAAGCATATACCATCAACACAGCCAACATTGTCTACAATATAAACCGGATGGACCCCAGCCAAGAATCAGCAAACTTACCTTAAATGTAACATCAGCATTTTCTTAGGAATCCCAACTGCAGCTACGCCGACAGCGACGCAGAAGAACCAGCAGCAGAGCCGCATACATAAGTCAGTGATCGCCACTGACCAGGCAGTCAATTCTAGAATCCCACCCGGAATACAATTGTCACTCTGACTATCTTAAAACTGCAATAAACGTGTATAACTAGATCACATAGAGAACACCTCCAAATTGGCATTCATCATTTAAGGGAACCCCTTTTTCCCTTCAACAGTTTCCAGCACCTATAGCAAGGACCCTAACCTCCTCTCTGGAACCTGTAACTGGCGCAGTCGAAACAACGAACCATGAGGAACATTTTAATCCTACTAATATGAGCATACATTGATTCAAACCTAGGAAACACACGTCCCACCACAGCAGGAAGTTCAACTCACGCCTCAACACAACCTATAGAACCTACACACATCAAACACACACACACACACACACACACACACACTATATATACTTAAGTAATAATAAGTAAAATTAAGCGCACAAACTAAAAAGATAATAGAAAACTGTCTCAGTAAATGTCGAATATCAAGAAGTTAATCCCAAATACCAGAAGTAGAAATACGAGCAGTGCTATCCCACCAGACATTAGGGAAGGACAGAGCCTAGCACGGCCAGCTGATATCACCCCCATGACCTCTTCGGCAGGTTCACCCCCCCCCCCCCCCCAATCAAGGGGAAATCACTATGAACTCGGATGTCATAACGGCCCTAAAAATACCGGACGCTATCCGTTTCTTGCCTACCTATAGCGGTGATTCAATGACCTTAGGCGAATTTATCACCAATGTCGAGGAAATTCTTCTGTTGATTAGGGGCACAGACCAAACTCCGTACGGACAGATGCTCCTAAGAGCAATTAGGAACAAAATAACAGGAAAAGCTAACGAAGCTATTATCGAGGCAGGAGCCACCCTCAACTGGGATGAAATTAAAGAAGCCCTCATCATCAGTTGTTCCGATAAGAGGGACGAACCAACCTTGATGTACGAACTTCACAGCGTAGTCCAAGGAAACTATCCTCTTCAAAAACTGTACGATAAAGTATGTGAAATTAAGTTAGCCTTATTCAGACTAACAGAAACTAAAGAATCCGAACCACTGTTGGTTAGAACAAAGAAAAACCTTTTCGCGGACATATGTCTCAACTCATTCCTATCCGGAATAAGCGGCCCACTAGGAACCGCCATCAGGTCTATGAAACCAGCTAATCTTCGTGAGGCTTTGGAGTGGGCACTGAAGGAAAGACAAATTTACTTCACTCACGAAAATAATAAGAGACAAACAAACCACCACCAGGGAAATGAGGACCGCAACATAAATAGACGCTACAATAATAACAGTAACAGACAGTACAACGAGAACCGTACCGATAAACGAAGATACCAAGATAACCATGATAGGGACGCATATAGACAGAAAAGAAACCCCAACACGTTGGCCATCATGCCAAAAGAAAATAGCTACAAGCAAAAAAACGAACAATATAATAGAAATGCAAACAACCACCAACCCAGGAGCTCAGTAAATACCGTCGAGCAACAACAGTTAGAACTTCACAACTACAACGACCAACCAAATTTTCTCACAGAAGCCTCGACAAGCAAACAGGGTACCTAACCAACACGAACTTAGGATCCACACTACCATATATCATGGTAAAAATACAACCAAACAAAACATTGAAATTTCTGACAGACACAGGCTCTAGCTCCTCGTTTATTAACCCCAGCTTCATCCCCAAACAAAAACAACAACAACTCCAAACACCAGTGGTGATCAAAACAGTGCTCAACTCGCACCAACTTCAGTTAAAGACCAATCTTGAACTATTCCAAGAGTTCTCCGACAACACGCAATATACATTGCTATTATTCAAATTCCACCCTTATTTTGACGGACTCATTGGAATTGATATCCTAAAACAAATCCAAGCCGTAGTCAACATACCACAGCGATCACTCCAAACAAGGAGTTTTAACATTCCAATAGAGATAGAAACTAAAGCTATTCCCAACTTACATATAATCGAAGAAGAATCGAGAAAGATTGTACAAGTACCCGTCAATGTTAAAAACGGTACATTCTGGTGTGAACCAACCATAATTTCGGAAAATCTATTCATTTCAGGCGGATTATACTCCGCCAAAAACAATCTAAGCTATATAGAAGTTAACAATTTTTCAAGTACAGAACAAAAATTCTGCCTAGACTCACAATTAATAGTAGTGGAACAAAACGAACACGATTATATAGAAGTCAATACAGCCCTGGAGGAAAATAGAGGGATAACACCCGACTACTCCAACCCTGAAACAATAATACAAACAGAGCATCTAAACGACGAGGAAAGAAAAGCGTTAAGAAAACTTTGCTCCAAATTCCCAAATCTGTTCTATACAGAAGGAGAGCCCCTAACCTTTACGAATTTAGTAAAACATAAAATAAACACAACCGACAAGATACCTATTCACACCAAACCATTTCGATACAGTCAAAAAGAAAGACAAGAAATAGACAACCAAATCCAAAAGCTACTAGAACAAAACATCATCAGACACAGTTACTCACCCTGGAGTTCACCAACATTCCTTGTTTCCAAGAAAACAGACAAATCCAACCAGAAAAAGTGGAGACTAGTGATAGATTACCGAAAACTCAACGAAAAGACAATAAAAGATAAATACCCTATGCCAAACATCAATGACGTATTAGACAGAATAGGCAGAGCAAAATACTTCACTGCCTTGGACTTAGCCAGCGGATACCACCAGATAGAAATGCACCCTACGGATATCAATAAAACAGCCTTTTCGACCATTAAGGGACACTATGAATTCGTTCGAATGCCATTCGGCCTAACTAACGCACCCGCCACCTTTCAAAGGGTTATGGACAACATATTAGCCGAACTAAACGGCAAGTGTTGCCTCATATACCTGGACGATATAATAATTTTCTCCCCATCCCTCCAAGAACATATTACGCACCTACAAGCAGTATTCGAGAAATTACATAAGGCAAACCTAAAACTCCAACCAACTAAATCTGAATTCTTAAGGAAGGAAATAGAATACCTAGGACACGTAGTAACAGAAAACGGAATCAAACCTAACCCCAAAAAGATTCAAGCCATAAAAGAATTCCCGATACCAAAGACTAGGAAACAAATAAAATCCTTTTTAGGGTTACTGGGTTACTATAGAAAATTCATAAGAAACTTTGCTACCATTACAAAGCCACTAACACAGCAACTGAAAGGCAAAAGTCCTGTTAAAATCAGTCAGGACTATACTAAGGCATTCGAGACATGCAAAACACTTCTCTGCAATGACCCACTTTTAGAATACCCAGACTTTTCAAAAACTTTTACACTCACAACAGACGCAAGTAACGTCGCCATAGGAGCAGTACTCTCCCAAGGCCCAATTAACAGCGAAAGACCAATCTCATTCGCTAGTCGAACACTAACGGATACAGAGTGTAACTACTCAACAGTTGAAAGGGAAATGCTCGCAATAATATGGGCAACTAAATATTTCCGCCCCTACCTATTCGGTCAAAGATTCAGAATAATCACTGACCACCGACCTCTCACATGGCTAATGAACTTTAAGGAACCAAATTCAAAATTAGTCCGTTGGAAGTTACAGCTACTTGAATACGACTACGAAATCTCTTACAAGAAAGGGTCGGAAAACGTCGTAGCTGACGCCCTCAGCCGCGTAACAGCAGACGTAAATACGAATAATCAAACCAACCAGACCAACGATATCCCGACAACAGATAAACCCATTAACGGACACAACCTGCAAATCATTTTTCAAATAGGTAGTAGATCACAAATTATAACCTCAACCCCATTCAAAAATAAAATCAGAAGAATAATCCTTGAAAGCAAGTTCGATAAACACAAATTGGCACAAACTCTAGCTAAAATCCTTAGACCTAATAAAACATACGCCATATTTACTTCAGATACCATTTTCAAAATAGTGGAAGAAAGCCTCAAAGAATACTTTTTACCCAACAAGATCTACAAAATAATCAGGTGCACTACAATGCTAGAAGACATTACCGAAGTAAACCAACTAGAACAGGAAATCAAGAAATACCATAGAGATAACAACCACAGAGGAATAGACGAAACGGTCGCCCATTTAAAACGAAAAATCTACTCACCAAGATTAAAAAATATAATTTCTGCTATAATCAATGACTGCGACGTCTGTCAAACCTTAAAGTACGACAGGCAACCGCAAAAGCTGGTTTATCAGGAAACCGAAACCCCCCAAAAACCCATGCAAATCCTACATATTGACATCTACA